AGTACTGCTAGACAGCTATTTCGTCCTTATTTAGGACTCTTCATCAGTGCCCACCAACCACAATGGTTTCAACACAAGACCTGTTGGTTAAAAGGCTAGCGAGCTCATAGACCATTAAGCAACCCCATCCAATGACCATCCATGAATTCCAGCTTCTGCCAATTGACGTTATTATTATTATAGTAAAAATACTGCAAATATGTATTAGAATAGAGTCAGAGAGAAATGAGGATCTAAGTGAACAGTTAAGATTTCTTCGCTGAATCCTTTTTTCTACTAAATATATAAGTGAGGACTTCATTGTTTCATTCAATCAGTTTCTTTTGTCCATGTAACATTCTTTCACATTATAAATCTTTCCCTTATATTTCAAGCACATTGTGAAGCGTCAAGTTTGAGATTTGTAGTTCCCGTGGCGTTCAGTGTTTTCTTGAGAGGAAGGGAGTTTCTATCCTCACACATTACAATAATCTTCACAGAGGTTGTTATGGGCTGAGCAAGGTTTGAACGTGTGTCGGTCTATCTATCTTATTCTATTTAGTCATCCGTATTTCACCATATTTTTCATGTCCTAGTCACCCTTTCCCATATTCAGTTCTCCACTAAATTTGATACCAACTCACACCTTTTCAGTGAGATGTTTTGTCTGAATGGATTTCTAAGCATAATATGTTACCTTGACTGGCTGGCTGGTCTCAACGTAGAACAAATTTGCAACAATGTGGAGCAGTTCTAGTTGTCCCACTCCATTTACAACTCAAAGCAAGATAAAAAATGAAAAAGAAATGCAAAATAGAGACAGTAAACAGTGATATGATGCAAGAAGAATAAAAGTATCGAAGAGCAATTTAGTTTTATTGGGTATTATAAGTCACAAAGAGTGGATGCATCTGCGTCAGCCATTGAGGATGATTTTGTCTCATATCACCAATTATCTCCAGTTATTGGTTTTCACCATCCTAAGGACCCAAGCCACTAAGTCATCACCTTCCTAATTGGCTTAAATTAACTGTTGTGGATCCCACTGACTGATGCTCTGTTTTGGTTTGACCACCACTGGCTCTTTTCCGATGTGATCCTATGTCCACTAACATCAACCGTCAACGGAGGTGATTGATGGCTACGCATTCGCAACTCATTTGCAACAACCGTCTCAACCAATTCACCTTCACAATCTCATCGATTGATTTTCCCTCCCTACCTAGCACTCACTGAACGTCTGACCTCAATAATACTCATCCTATTATACCATCTAACATGGGAGATAGAAAGCAGGCAACTATGATCAACAAAAGAAAGCGAAACTTTTCGTGTCTCCCACAAAAAATGGCCATGCCTTACTAGCAGCCATAAAGGAGGACGGAGCAAACTGCTGAGCAGTGCACATGCCTTTTGCTTCGCAGCTGGATAACACGTCTACTAAGTCAGAGAGGGCGTAAATTGACATGTGCCAAACGAGCCGTGCTGAGATTTCGTCAACGATCAACTTGCTGGCACTGGCTAATGCAACTCATCAAATAAGTGAAGTGGTCAACATGCTCCACCAACCACCGACGCCACCAACCATTTCACTCCTGTCTATCTTTAAGCTAGGAGTGAGCCAATGCAGTTCAGTCCTGTAACACTATCTGACATATAACAGCGGGAGCTAATCGCATCCCAACCATTCGTAAATTGCTGCTCAAGGTGACCAGAGGACTCTGCGTTTTACCAGCAACTTCACCGTATCTGCTAAGTCAACGATATTTATTCCCTAGTGGTGAAAATTCAATCCTTGAGTCGATGAAATCAATTAAGGTTAATTAAGTCCATTAATACATCTATGATGACTATAGAACAATAATATGCACTTATAACTGTTATAATTAATCAATTTGCATGAGCATTTGAAATGTTTAAAGCGGACAAAACAAACCTGAATTCCAATTCATCTTAAGTTGTTTACGGTCCTCGTTTTTTATTAAAATTCCAATTGTTTTTCAATCAGATTAAAAGTTTACAATGAATACAATTCGACAACTGGAATTTTTACTACAGTTTTGTCTAGAAATCAAAATTTTTCAGATCGCAAAATATATGTGACCTACTTGATACCATAAATAGTAATCAAGACAGTAAACATATTTGGACGAAGCTATCTATACTACTGATTCATTGAGATGAGTAGCTGAATACTTCTTCTTACATCAACCAGTAGTGCCTCCTGGCTAGTCAGATCAACGTGATCTCAATACCAGACGGCCATTTCCCTCATTTACAGTGGAGCTCATTAGCCATATAGCCGGTTTGACTCAACTCAAAGATTGGTTTTATAAGAATTTTGTTTGAATGGATGGAGGATTTCATCATGAGCTGACATCAGTTACAAAACCACTGGAAAACATGCAGGGAGTACTGGACAGCTGTTTCCTCCGTCCTAGTTTGGGGCTCTTCAGTAGTATGCACCCACCACAGGAGTGTGAACCCAGCGACTTCTGGTTTCAAGGTTAGCGATTTAGCTCGTAGACCATTAAGCCACTGGGACCCAATCTAGTAGCCAGCTTATGAATTTTACTTCTACCGATTCACAACATAACGCGACCATTTCGCAATGCCTTCTTCGATGAGTTACTGCCTCATCTTCAACCTATTGTACCCTACTGATCGCGGATTCCTGCAATTGGTTGAAGATGAAGCAGTAACTCATCGAAGAAGGCATTGCGAAATGGTCGCGTTATGTTGTGAATCGGTAGAAGTAAAATTCATAAGCTGGCTACTAGATTGGGTCCCAGTGGCCTAATGGTCTACGAGCTCGCTAGCCTTGTAACCAGATGGTTCTGGGTTCTAACCTCTGTGGTGAGTGCGTACTAGTGAAGAGCCCCAAACTAGGACGGAGGAAACAGCTGTCCAGTACTCCCTGCAGGTTTTCCAGTGGTTCTCTAACTGACGTCACAGGTAGTGATCTGAATAATTTGGCGTCCAGATGAAAATTTGGTGGAAATGTCACCCCTTGAACTGTGTACATTTGCAAAGTGTGATTTTGGTTCATAGTATGACCGATTCGCCCAATTAGCCAGATATCCGACAGTCTGAAGTAAGTGGGCTCTCTGGAGTGAGTCACACAGCTGATAAGCTCGGCTCCAAATGAGTGTAACGGCCGTCTACTTCCTGAATCACATTGATTTGTCTGGCAATCATTACTCACCTGAATTCATTATAATAAAGGTTTTCAGTATTTCCCAATGAATCAAAAACAAAACGATACACTTGCTTTTACTGACGTTTAGCTATTTATTGCTGCTAATAGCCTTATCAAAGTAGTATTATTAAACCAGAATTAACAAAATCTCCTCAGCTAATATGTAACAATTTAATCATGGTTCCTCAGTATGGGGTCAATTTCGCATTGTCAAATTGGCCAATGGGTAAAGATAACAAACCTGGATGTAGATTTTTGGATTTAATAAGCGTATACCATTTTATAACAGCAGCAGATGTCTACATAATGCAATTGCTTTTCACTTTTGTGTTGACTTTGTCATTTCATGGAGTGAGGCAGGTGGGTGTTGTCACCAAGTCAAGTTGTGTTTTAGTCCATCATTCCTATTCAGACAATTTGGATTCCATTTGATATGAAGTGCTTCTGATGCTATTAGACGTTCTTTGTGATTTCTGAAATGCTTTCTTTGGATGATGATTTCAATATTGTCGAAATCAACTTTTTGGCTTCATTCCGTAGCAAGTAGACCGCCTATGACTGATGATTTTCAAGCTTTTCCAGATCAACTGGATTTCTCGTTGGTCAAACATGCGATACACCGTGTTCATTTCTTCTCATTTTAATTTCTCATGATGTTTGTCTGATGTATATCCCATCACATGCATTGCAATCATTTTATTTTATAGACATAATTAGATTGAGAATCCTTAGGCATTTGGTCTTTTATATAGACAAAGTTGTTTCTCAGTGTGTCTGATGTTTTGAAAAAGACTCTGACGTTGAGTTTATTGAGACTGACAACTGTTGAGGACCATGTTTTTGGAATACGTTTTCGAGCATACTTAATGTCTGTGTTGATTTTGTTGATGAAGTCCCTTGGGTAGTTGTTTTGCTTGAGAGTTTCAGTAGTGTTTGATATTTCTTCTTCTTTTTCTCTGTCATCCGTTATCAGGGAGTGTACTCGTCAAAGAAGACTTGAAACAACTGAAACCTTTGCACTGATGGGGTATAATGATCCAAAGTCTAAATATTAATTGGAGTGGGTTTTCTTCCTAAATATAGATATACTAAAATGTCTGCTTTCTCTCCTCTTAACTAGGCAATCTAGAAATGGTAGTTTAACAATGTCTGATTATACTTCCGAAGTAAACTGAATTCTGGGAGGTAGATTGTTTATTGTCTCTAGGAATAAACTGTGTAGACCTCGTTTTAGCACTACAAAAGTATCGTCTACATGTCTTAATCATATTTTAGGAGTGAGTATGTTTGAAAAGATGTTATAGTTATATAGTTCAAATTACTCTCGCCTAACTTTTATTTTTCACAATATTTATATGTGATTGTGTTCTCTGAGCTGGATAGTTAATTTGCGAAGCTTTCATCGCCCTACTAGGCGAAATCTTCAGCGCATACTACAGTGAATCATCAATCAATAGACACATCGAGAAAAACAAAATTTATCGACCACTAAGAAAAAACTTCACACACAAAGGGTCGAAATTCAAGTCAAAGAAACAATCAGTTCCAATACAAGTAGCCTAGAGGGTGTGAAAACACACAAAACAACCAGCCACGTCCAAGATCACCGGAAGAGATGATTAATAAACTCGTTGAGAAATCTGAAAGCTCACTTCGACTAATTGAAGTTTGCACTGAAGATGTCACCTAGTAGGGCGATGAGAGCTTCGCAAAATAACTATCCAACTCAAAGAACACAACTACATCAAAATCATCCACCTGAGCTACATATCTTCTCCATCATATCACAATATTTTTACTTTTATGTTTTCTCTTATTTCAGTGCATAATTTATCCAACAGCGAATCGTGGAAGTAATACAACCGCGATAAAAGTCAATTATATCACATGGATTACAGCATTTATTCTAGCCAGTCCACTTGTCTACTTTTCACGTATCACAGAAATGAATCACTTACAATGCACAGAAAAAGCAGACAACCCGACAACACAAAAATTTAAATTATTCTATTCATTAGCTGCATTAATTATACAATATATGACACCATTGGTTATTGTAACAATTGTTTATTATCGTATTTGTTTAAGTATACGTGATCGTAAAGAGCGCGCAATTCAAAAAATCTGCCTCTCACAAATTATTCGAGCTAATATGGATCCACAGAATGATAAATACGAGTCCCTAACACATACAAACGATAAAAATAATAACAATAATAATATTTCTAGTAGAAACAATTATAACGATAATATATATGCCCCGAAAAATACAAGCCCAACATATTATCAAAAAACTAATAATAATGGATTAGATAGACAGAAAACACTTCTGTCACCTTCATCTGTGAACTCAACATCCGCGTCGCAGAAAGAAGTGATCGATCGTCGACATCGTAAAGCGATTATCCTGTCAACTGTTATTGCAATTGTATTCTGTTTAAGTTGGTTACCAATTAACACCCTGAATGTGATTAGCGATATGCGTGAACTGGAAATTGTAACCGCCTACGATTTGGCCTTCAGAAATTTAAAATCTTATAAAACCAGTCAAAACATATCAACGAATAATAACAATAATAATAATGATAATACTAATAGTACAGTGAAGATTGAATCGACCGCCAGTAGCGGAGATTCAATGTCTCAACATTCAATAAGCATTTTAAAAGCTATCAGTAAGATAAAGAGTATTGAAGCGAACAATATTGATGCTATCACTGTGATAATAACACAAGCTTTATGTTTATTGTTAATCTTGAGTTCTGCTTGTGTTAATCCAATCCTTTATGGTTGGTTAAATAAATCCTTTCGATCAGAATTCTACCAGGTGTTTCATATACACTCAACAATACTGCCGAATATAAAATCTTCGCATAAAAACATCACTCAAGATAATATCACTAGTAATAGAAATAATGAAACTGGGCATAGACATCTGGACAGTGAACAAGCAGAGTATGTCGAACAACTACCAACAAATTATCACTATGTGAATCCTGTAACTACTACTGATACAGCAACAAAAAATGCTAATAGTAATCATAAACATTTAATGAAAAAAATTATCGAAACAAAAAAATCAACTGAAAAGCGTTCCTTATCATCGACACAAGATTCGTGTACAGTCTTCTCACTGTTCACATCACGATCAGTTGAGTTGAATTCGGCACAGATTTCGAGTAATAGTGGCAGTAATAACACAACTAATAATAATAATAACAATACTACTACTAATAATAGTAGTAATACAAACGGCTCTTATGATACTTTATCACAAACGATAAGAAACAGTTTCATATCAAAAAATGCAGAAGATCATTCAACCGCTTCCAACGAAATATCTGTACAGATGAATTATGAACAAGATCATATACAATCAGCGGGAAATAATAGAAATACTAATAATTCGAACAGTACAAACGTGAACACTTCATTGAAAAGATGCTTTCTTCTGGATAAAACTGAAGATGAGGATGAATGCGATATTATTCCTGAATCGGATAGTATCACAGATCCAACACACCTTAGATATCTACCTGATATAACATCTGTTTGAAGTGAAAAAAAATATGAAAACCTTCATAATAGATATATATATTGATGTTTTCTACGAAAAATAATTTTTTTTCCCGAAGATTTTGATTTGTTGCTTTTCTGTTTTTTTTTCTGTGCAACTGTGTGTGTTTTGAGTGAATTTATTTATATTTATTGAATACATTATTTGTGTATTGTTATTATTGTTTGGTACTTAGTGTTCGTCTTGGTTGTGAGTGGATCATTTTGGGAGGGCTTCAACAGCCCACCTCCGCTTCGTCATATTCTCTTCAATCTTAATTAGCAATAGACTCGCATCTCATCCATGTCAACATCTGAACTACGCTGCAAAGTTAAGCTGTATTATTATTGTTTCCTTTAATTCCTAGAGGAACATAGGGCTTCAGCCGTGCGTCTCCATTCCGTTTGGTTCTCTGCTAGAGTCTTCACTTGGCTCCAAGTCTGCCCACACGCTTTCACCTCCTCTTCACATGATCACCTCCTCCAAGTCACCCTTGCACTGACGACCAACTCGCCGCTTCCCTTTCGAATTCCACTCGAGCAATGTTTTGTCTAGTGATGTCACTTGATGGTTTGCTTCCTCAGAGTATAGCCAGCCAATCCATCTCCATTTCTTCCTGCCTATTTCTTTCACAATCGGTTCCTGGTTGGTCCGCTCATTGCCAGAGATCTCTGTTTCTGATCTTTTCTGGCCAGCCATCTGATATTGAGTGGTATTGATCGAAGACAAGTGTTATTGAAGGTCTGTAGTTTGTTTGAGATGCTCTTTATGACACGCCAAGTCTCTGATCCGCTTGTTAAGTAGCAATGACTTCACACTGGAGTTGAAAATCAGGATCTTATTTTTGATGCTGAGTGCTGTCGACCTCCACACAGACTTGAGAGTGGTGAAAGCTTGTCCCGTTTCCCCGATCCTTGCTTTGATATTCTCATCAGTTTCGTTTGCCAGGAGTTGAAACGATGCTTCCCACGTAGGTAAAAAAGGTTGTTTCTTTCAGGTTCCTCCCATTTATTCTGATCGTTGTCTGTTGTTGTTTTTATTGTCCAGGAATCTTCATCAACTTTGTTTTCTCTATGTTCACCTGAAGTCCTATTTTTGATGCTTCTTCTGCCAACTTGTTGCTTTTCGCTTGCATATCTTCCAGTTTGTGCGTAGTCAGTTACCGTTAGTTTAGGGATATTTTCACGTTAGAGTTAGGTTCAGGAAAGATTAGGGTTATTGTTAGGGCTAGAAGACCTAAATAATTACATGCATAAAATGTGGTTAGATTGCTCTGTTGATATAAGAATAGAATTTGTGCACTACCGTATAGTATAATTCCATTGTGGGTAGAATTTTTACTGATAAAGTCTCACGGTGTTATGCAGTGATATTTACTGATGACATTTTATTGCTCAGTAAATATAACTGTATTGCACTAAGAGACTTTATCGAAATAAATTTTACCCACAATGGAACTACACTCTGTTGATAATGTGAGAGCAAGGTATCCTCTGTAACACTTTCCTAAAGTTTTATGCATTTGTTTCATAAATGTCTATGTATTCCATACACCAAAATGCCTCCTTCATGTGATTTGTGCGTTCGAGGTCATTCGCTGATTGGTGATAGTTGATGGTGCTTAAAGTTTAACTTTGCCAACTACGTCTAGATCGTCATCTTCATGATCGGATCCCACTCCCTGCAGTGTATCCGGCTCACCTCGATTTCCTTCCAAATATATTTATTGAAAATTAGGCTGTTGATCGGATCATCCCTAGAGAATTTTGTTGGTAATTGTTTCTGGACGGCCATGCAATATTCACTATGGAGTTAGAGAAGACAGGTGTTGATAAAAGCCTCCAAGTGCTTGCTGGAAATACTTTTCCGTGACTTTTGAGCCACATTTCTTACCCATACAGAAGAACTGACTAACTTAACATTGATTTCAAAAATCAGAAGTTTGTTGTTTATGCTCTGGAAGAATTGAGAATATTTCCAAACTAATTTTAGAGTGATAAATGTCTATTTTGCCTTCTCCATTCTGCTTTTGACATCTCTATCCATGCCTAGTGCCTGCCTAGACAGGTGATTAGTGCTTGTCGCTGTCGCCTGGTTGGCTGTTTTCTTCACCTCTCTTTCCTCTATGTTCAGCTCAAATTCCTTCTTTGCTGCTTCTTGTACTACTGATTAATTCCTATTGTAAGTCTTCGACTTTGTATGACATTACACATAAATCATTTGCAAAATTCGAATCTTCTAGAGTCTTCCAATCGGTCTGACATGTTCTTTTCTTCTCGCCCTCCAAAGTCTTCTGCATCATCGCGAGACATTGGTTAGTGCAACATTTTCATGAGGTGTACAGGTTTATCTTCATTTAAAGCTTAGATCACGGATTGACCTTGGTTTTGAAAATCACTCAAAAATTTGAAAGAACTGAACAGCTGTCTAATCCTAATTTAGCGATTCTCCACAGGAATTCAGCCCAGAGCTTTGCAGTTGAAAGGTGAGACGATTAATCAATATATATAGTCAGAATATATTCACTGCTGTTGGAATCCTAAGCTTAGAGGATGCAGATGATGTCAGTTAAATCTGTAACTTTAAATCATGAGAAAAAGACGTAAATAGCGAAGAAAATTTTCTTTTCGACGATTCATTTTCATAAGCTGTACAATAATTGTAATTATAAATAATTAAGAATTTATTAGACCAATCAGATACTGGTAATGTGAGGTGTAGTCTAGATGGGGTGACTAACTGGAAATTAGAAAAAGGAGGCAGAAGATGGGATGACACAATAAGTGTGAGATAATGACTAATCAATAAGCTCGTGTGGAATGGACAGGAACTAGAGGAACGTTACTCCGGCCACGGTAAGGCGAGTGAATGTATGTAGGGCTTTTGAATTCAGAGGTCCAGTTTCAAATCCTGAATAGCTAATGCTTCAGCTATGTACAGATGACGTATCTGAAGTCCCTTTTTACGATATTGAGGGACTCTGTGCAGCACTATGAAGCATTCATACGGAGGCGGAGATGACAAGGTGTCCGAGGATAGAACTGTTGTTATACTTCCTCTTTCCTCAGGCTGGCTGGCTGGCCAAGCTGGAGTGTGTTCCAGAATACGTTTGTTGACTTGACGTTGCGAACGGACGATATACTTTGCTCCACACGAGCAAGTAAATTAATAAACACACATTGAGATGGCCAAAAGCGGTATCTTATCCTTAACATTAGAGTGAATCAACTGTCTGCTGGCGAATGTGATACGTGAGGTGGCTGTTGGAAATGTCTTCTTCAGACATTTAAATTAGAGTTCATCGGCCGTACCATGCGCCGACTTGGAGAACGCCTTCGCGAACACTACACAACCTGGCTCGTAAAAGGAGACCAAAAACGTGTATACAGTTCAGTGACAGAACATCTGGTCAATTCACGACATTCAGCGCCTTTCGAAAAGTCCTTCAAAGTAATATTTAAGATTCAATCAAACCTATCAAAGGGAGTGAAATCAAGATATCTGGGTATAGCTGAGGCGCTAGCTATCCAAAATCTCAAACCCACTCTTTGTATTCAAATGAGATACGTCCAACCCCAAGCCCTGCCATGGCCATCATAAACAGGTAAATTTTTAATTAATGGCCATCCCATCGCCTTTCTTATCTAAACTTCCTGTTTATTCATGTTATTTTAATTTTTTCTTAATCCCTGTCTACATAACCATATTTTCATATCCACACTTTCTGTTTATTATGTCATTTTGCCATTTCTACATATTTAATCCCTGATTGCATAAACAATTATTCATCATATTAGTTTTTTATCCAAACATCCTGTACGTTCTGTTATTTCTACATTTCTAACACCCAATTGCACAATGTCAATCTTCTTAGTTATCATGCTACTTTGTTTAAGGTTTACCCGTTCCCCTGTTTACTATGGGATTCTAATTCCTAATTGTAATTTCTATTAATTTGACCCTAAACCGGAAATTTTTCTGGAACTTTCCCATCCATATGATATAAATAGACGAATGTACAGCCTAGATGATGTCTTCGTCGAAAAGAAAATTTTCTTCGCTGCAACTGACATTTAGATGGGCGGTTTCTAAATAATATATATACGAAATCACCTTTGAATTCTAGGTTCATGCAGAGAGTTTTCTTAAGAACAGTTGCGTTGTTTGGCGACGGAGGCTTTTCCTTTATGTTTTGTGTCAATGAATCTCGGTCGATACCCATTTTCCATACAGTGAAACTTAAAAATTTTATTGAACACTTTACAACGTATCTATTTAGATACGAAATTTAAAGTGTGTAAAAGAAGCGATTAGTTCAATCAGTGGAGTAAAAACCTACAGTTGATTTCATTCTAAGGCCTTAAATTTCGTATTAATTTAAATGGTCGAACCAAAGTTTTACATCACTTCACAGAATGATTTAGCAACGTTATTCTGCTTTCATTGGACAGTCATAACTAGTATGATGTGTCCGGTCGTTTGTTTGATGTAGACTAAATTCTCTCAGTCAAGTTCGCAATGTGGCCGACATTCAAGGTTGCACGACATCATGGTGCACTGTGAACTGTAGGTGTTAAATGGTTGGAGGCAAGTCAGAGTAGCTCAGTGGTAACACCTTTATTTGTGGCACTGAGTGACGCTGGTTGGAATCCCAAAAGGGACATGAGTTGCAGATATGCCTCGCTGACTGGTGAGTGCCAGATTAGAGGAAATCCAGGTTAGGTGAAGCTCCCTGCCCACTGTACCCAACCACTTAACACCAAAATTATTCTGCTAAATATATGGGAATACGAAAGAGGAAAAGCGGCAGCTATCAGTGGAATCTCAGATATACGTTTCATTTTCATCAATCTGGATTTAATGATACACTTTACGTCCGTATCAGGACAAGGTTAACCAGAAGAGAATCAACTATGCTCAGCACGATTTATTTTTACAGAAAAAGCTACTAAAACAACATTTGTCTTGGATGATTTTTCACTAGTGCAGATTTTGATATAAAGAAAATGAAATTTAGTTTAGACCTTGTCATAAATCATGATTTTTGAAATCTGAAGCTGTACGAATGAGGAACGT